TCTGAATGGGATTAACATTATTACCTCAACAGGGATTTGGCCACCGAGTTGTTCGATGTAGCATAGAACTTGACCTTCTTTCACTTTGTCTTTCTGTTGGAGTAACCAAAACCAAATATATAATCAAGCGAAAGATTTCAAATACTCCGAGAAGATGGAGATTTTCAAAGATTTTTGTTCGTAACATAAGAGAAGACGTACCTCTTTACAGATTGTAGGAGCGCGTTTCCCCTTTATCGTCTTGGATCTCCTGAAATAACCAACCTGCGCAGTAAAATTCCAGTCGAAAGATCACAAAATGTTAGCCATGTCATGCCAGTTTCAAAGAAATGATTCTAGCAATGAGCTTCAAAGTGATTCTGGTCTCTAACCGTTGGAGATTGGAGAATCACTAAACCCGCATCAGCAGCTTTGTTACTGAGAGTTTGGGGTCTCTCTGCTGAAGAAGACGATGATTTTGTGATAGCCAATGACGAAGAAGTGGCTGATCCATTTGTATCCATCCCCTCAGAAGTTGCGCTTGCAGTAACCACATGCGGAATTTGCTGAGGTTGTGTACTACTTTGGTCAGCTAACTTCCTTGCTACATATAGGCGGAAACCTCCCAGCTATTAGAAATATACAAGCCGGAGAAAGCAGAAACGATTAGACATGATCTAAAAGAAAACATAGCAGAAGCGAGTAATCAAATGTACAGAGCTACAATAAAAAACATAATTACGAGTTCGGAAATCGTATGTGTGGCTTACTTTCAGTTCGAACTCCGCAATGGATGGAGAATCAGCGACTTCAGTAATAAGTGCTTCAACCTAGAAGATGGAAAAGAAACATAATGGTTTCAAATTCACATAACTTATGTCATCAAGACCACAACATAGTCTCCCAATACCGGACTAGAGGGCTATGAGAGAACCAAATGAGGTGCATCATACTTGAAAACAATACGGAAAAAGCTCAAACTCAATTAGATAATGACCGAGACTTTATTATGAAGGTAACACTCTACCTCAGAGGACTTGGGAATGAGATGAGTATTCACAACAGATGATTCAGTCTCTTCAGAATCTTCTACATCTGTAATAGCTGCAGTGAAGAACGTTAAAAAAGAACAAAACACACAAACCATAACAACGAAAAAGACATACTTCTTTTCAACTTCTCATGTTGGCACACAAGCCACAACAACCTTAAGCATAGCCTGAAAGAATTCAAGACAAACAGTAAAATACCTTTAGTTTCTGCAGGTGGAGCAACAGACAATTGGATAGCTTTCACAGATCGCAGAGTCGTCCTTAGACTCGGATACTTAATGGAGCTTTGACCAATACATAGTCTTTGATTGTTCGGTATCAACGAGTTTCCACATCTGAAATTCGTAGCAGAAATTTTGATTTTAGGAGCTCCTAAGCTACCTGAAATATACACAAAGATTATTCAATACTCCTTGACCTTAAAACTAAATGTTACATCACTAGTAATCACCAAAACAATAGACCATGTTTTAAAGTTGATATCTTTGAAATTTTTAGTCTTGAAGCGAATAGAGTAACAATTCCATTATCAAGGATCAAACTTGAATAGCACAAGAGATTGAAGAACACTAAAGTTGAAATCTTTGAAATTTATAGTCTTGAAGTATCAAACTTGAATAGATCAAGAGTCAAGAACACTAAAACCTAGTGCTAAATCAAAGACAAAACTCAAAGACTCATTGTTGTTCTGTATACACTAATCTCATTGCAATATAAAGAAAGCTCTAATCCATAATCGTATCAAAGAACAAGCTCAATGATCCAAAAAATACAAAAGGTTTAATGAAAATGGAGAAGAACAAAATCATTTCTCAGAATCGGATTTACAAACCCAGAAGAAAGATAGAGAAACTTACAGGAATTCATGGAGGATAGAGAGAAACAATAATGGAGATATTTGAAGAAGATGAGAAAAATCTGAGTAAAAACGATAGGAACGAGGAAGACGATTTGATTTTTGACGATGAAAATCAAATGTTGAGCAGAAGGAAGGAGAGTGGTTCACTTGTTCGATACGATCAGAGTTAAGTGTTTTTTTTTTTTTTTGGGTTTATAGGCCTACTTGGTCTACAAAGCCCATTATTATCACAAATGATTTCAATTTTTTTTTGTTTTTCTAATAAATATTTGCAAATTTTAAAACCAGTGATATTTTTTTAGTTTGTATATATAGATCCACTCTTTTTTTTTTGTATATATAGATCCACTCTTTTTTTTTTTGTCAACTCAAAAGGTTGCAAAATTTCATTAATATCATCACGAGTTTACAATCAACAAGCGAAGATCGAGTTTGTTTAGCAATAGTATCCGCTATTACAATCAGACTCCAGTTGATACAAACAAAAGAGGAAGACTCAAAATGTCTGAGCAAGAATTTTAATGTCTTCGATAATACCCTATAGTCCAAGGAGAGTCTCTCCCAAATTTATGGCGTTGATAAGTTGAGATGAGTCGGACTCGAATGTCATATAAATCCTCTTACAGTAAAGTATAGAAAACAAAATCTAAAAAAAATCGATATAAAATAAAGGAATAAAACCAAAGATGATATAAAAAGTAACTTTTTTTTGTTGTCAAAAACGCGCGTTTAGTCCATATGAAAATATTTTCTTTTGTGTCGAACTCAATTTTTTTTTGATATGAATGTTAAGATTTTATACCATTTTTGTTTTTTAAGAGAAAATACAAGCTATAAACTATCCAATACATCATTATAGCCCAACCCAAAGAATATTGTAGCGACAGACAATTCTAAAACAAAATAACATTATAGAGGGAACGATATACAATCAAAGTAAAATTCAAGGAGAGAGGAGAGTTGAAAGTCGTTACCAAAAAGGAAATTAAAGGAGTCGATTACACATAACACGATCAATGGCTTGATGGAGCGAGGCTGGTGACGCTGAAGTCCCGCGTGCTGAAGATTCTTATCCAAATCTCGAACTCAAACATATTAAGAAAAATAGATATTGTAATGAGTTTTGAGCTAGATTTCGCATTCCATAGGAGATATTAAAGCAAATGATTTCTAGCAAATAAATGGTGCCTAAACAAAAAAATTTCTGAAAGTAATATTACCCTATGTTTTTTCAATAGTTTTTTTTTCTTTTCAACATTAATGCATTATACAGTGATAAGCAATGACGACCTAAACAGTTACATGTTTATGATAAATATTTTTTGATCGGATTTTGACATATAAGGATATAAAAATAGACTATGTAATGTTAGAATATAGAGGGCTAGGCTAGACAAAATAATATTTATAAAGATAAATAAAATCGAGCATATATTATTATACGACAAAGTCATAAGAAAACAACCCTCACTAAGGGTTATGAGACACGTAAAATGTCTCAACATACAATAATAATAAAAATACCAAAAATTTAGAAGCCTGAACAACAAAACAATTATAATAGAACATTGATTTGTATTTTATTTTCGAACAAACGAAGCCATCATTTCTTAATAATAATAATTTCTTTCAAATATTCCTCGAGCTAGGGCGGGTCGAACCGGCCGGGCTGCTAGGGTTTTTGGTGGTTCCAGCGGCCGGACTCATCCCAAGAGTGTTCTTCACTGCATCAGCTGCTCCTTGAGCCATGTTCTTCACTTGTCCACCAGTCTACACCCCAAAAACAACAATAAATATGTTAATTAATAGATGAAATATAAATTTTACATATATTTAATCAATAACAGTGAAAAAAGAAAGAAAAATATATAAACCTGTTGGATGACATTGGAGGCTTGGGAAATTAGAGAAGGATTGTTTTGATCAGACTCC